GCTGCAACCTTGGCACGAGTAAGGCTTCAAGTTTATAGGCCTGGCTTCCACAAAGTCTATACAAGCCTTGTAAGTGTCCGCTAGGGACGGTTGATTTTGGAATGTGCACTCTGGGGAGTAAGCATTTTGTCAACGGGTAGCAGATATCAGGAGGCGCCCGCAGATATAGTCAAATACCAACCGCGCTCGGCGGCTACCCCCAAATATCAGCCAGCGCGCCGAAGCTAACTTCGCTTGGTGCAGGCCCGGGATACGCAAAGAGAACAAAAAACATCCCGGCAAGGCGAATGGATTGAGGGTGGTTCGGATGCTGCACAACCTCACACCACTCAATATATCCCCTAACTATGTATGATAAGGGATAAATTTAAGTTGCCCTCGGGTTAGCGGCTATTACTTGACTAAAAAGCTGTTTCCCCCACCACCATTGCATCACCCCAAACCCCGAACTCATCGTTATTTTCCTCCTCGCATCTCCCCTGCCGCGTGGTTTACCAAGAACCCTTTATAGAGACGCCCCTCCTCGCAAAATATTAACGTTCCTCTCTTTTCTCATATTCCCTCGTTGGGCATAACTGTTTAACCAAGGATATCGACTTACATTCCAGATATACACCAAGATCTGCACCGGGGGATCCTTCAACACTAACCCCCACAAGAAATCATAGCGAAGAAAAAACACATGACCCATTGAAGGCTCATACTTTTACGGATAATGCAGCGGGGTATTATACAGCTTCAACGATGACTTTTTGATTTGTATAAATGGGGGTGCCGGCGGTGAGAGAGAGAAAAGGCTGATAAAGTAGGAAGGAAAACAATGCCTGGGAACGTCAATGGCCTCTATCGCTTAAATATAATATAAGAAAGAAATACAGAGCTTATAATCCCCCCCCCATCCGAGCTCCCAAACCCCGGTGGAGAAAATTTCACCCTCTTCTAGTAATACTAGCATCCAGAGAAAAAAAAAATTCCCCCTCTGTATCATCAGTCTGTAACACTGGTCTCTGGAAAAAGAAAAAAAAGTTCACCGACGAAACATCTCCAGTCAGAAACCTGCTTCAACCAGGAGACAAGACAGAACATTCGAGGCACTTCCGAGAGCATTCTGCGGAGGGGATCCTGATTTCTAACACATATATGCAGAAACCGCTGACACATACACCAGGGATCTGTTCAATCTACGGGGATGTATATACGTGTCCTGGAGACTCCCGGAAGTTTGGAAATCGTGCACTGTCACCCCGAAAACTGCGAAATTGGAAGTCCGAGGTTGGCTCCCGGAAAAGGACAGATCATCTGGGTCTGGCCCAAAGCCTGGGCAGATGCGGGCGCCGAGCATGGTGGGATGGTTTGGGTCTACGACTTTCTTATTGACCTCTAGAGCGCAGAGGAGGATGGTTCCTTGCTCATCATAGTTTCCTTTCAATGCTAACAATCTTGGGTTACCAATGATGATTAAAATTCTATCACATTGGTGTTTGGGAACGCTTCCGTGCCCATCCACGGCGCGGGAATACATCGGCTCTGAGCTATCTCTCTTTACCCGGTATCGTGATGGCACGGCCGGGTTGCAGACAGGTCTTAAGATCTTGTCCGGTGTGTGGTATTCATGACAAAGCAATTCGTCAGTCCTCGGAGCAGGCAGTAGGAAGATTGTGATTGATAGTCTGGCAAGTCGAGGGGAGGATTTGGCCCCAGGACGTTAGGCTAAGCACGCGGGAGACGACGGCTTCGCTCTACCCTTTGAATGATTTGGAATGCAAGGCTGCAAAGTACTTGCTGCGGATGACGCCAGCAGGTATGAGCAGGGCTTCTGCGGTTAACCATGATCGTGTCTTCGGACCTACAAGATTGAGGGGTGACATAATTGATAAGAGAGTGGCCTCTAAGAGTTCTGCCGGATAGGAGAGCGGCTACCAATATCTGATAGGGTGGGAGAGCACAAGTGATATTTCATTATGAATAGTAGACAAATCCGCTACTAAACGAGACAAGAAATGATGGAAAATAAAAGGTGAAAAGTAGATGAATAATTCCCGATGCTATCTGCATACACGGGTAACTTATCTCTTGCTCATAACAAACAATTCAACAGTCCGGCACCACGACCCACTCGCTATTCATATTAGCTCGGCACATTGCCCCATTGTTCACGGTAGATTCGCATAGCCTCCCACACGAGTGGGAATTGAGAGCCGACTTATGTCACCCCTACTCGAGCCGAACTACAGGTGAGATGAAAAATCGCCTTGCCGGCCCACTGCCCCTGCTAAAGAGTCCGGGGGCGTATAAAAACAAAGGACAATACGACCTGCAAACAGCAGCTATACTTGGTCGTGGGGTTTTGCTGGTCTCTGCCGTGCATGCAGCCTCATCGCCTCCGATCCACCGTGCTTTTCCCGGTACTCCAGAAGCATAGCTAGGTTGTTGAGGCTTTTTAGGGTGTTCGGGTGGTCTGGTCCGAGAACTTTCTCGAAGCCCTCGATTGCACGCCGGTGCATCCCCTCTGATTCGCCGTACTTCCCTTGGTTCCGCAGCACGAGAGCTAGGTTGTTGAGGCTCTCTAGGGTGTCTGGGTGGTCTGGTCCTAGAACCTTCTCGCGCCCCTCAAGTGCATCCCGATGCACCGCCTCTGATTCACCGTACTTCCCTTGACGTTGCAGCACAATAGCTAGGCTTCCGAGGCTTTTTAGGGTGTCCGGGTGATCTGGTCCGAGAACCTTTTTGCGACCCTCGAGTGCACGCTGCTTCATTCTATCCGATTTATCGTACTTTTCCTGGTATTCCAGCACAATAGCTAGGTTGTTGAGACTTCTTAGGGTTTCTGGGTGGTCTGGTCCGAGGATCTTGTTGCGCCCCTCATGTGCACGCCAGTGCATCGTCTCTGATTCACCGTACTTTCCTTGGTATTGCAGCACAATAGCCAGGTTGTGGAGGCTTCTTAAGGTGTCTGGGTGGTCTGGTCCGAGAACCTCGTCACGGCGCTCCAATACACGCCGATTCATCATCTCTGATTCGTGATACTTTCCTTGGAGTTCCAGCAGCGCAGCCAGGATGCTGACACTTGTTAGGGTGTTAGGGTGGTCTGGTCCTACACTTTCCTCATACCCCTTCACTGCTCGCCGGTTCATGGCCTCTGACTCACCGTACTTTCCTTGGTATTGCAGCGCCCGAGCCAGGTTAATGGCACTTGTTAGGGTATCTTGGTGATCAGGTCCAAGAACCTTCTCACGCACCTCCAGTGCACGCCGGTTCATCGTCTCTGATTCATCGTACTTTCCGAGATCACTCAGCACACTTGCCAGGTAGGATAAGCATTTCAAGGTGTCGGGATCGTTTGGACCTAATGACTCCACAAGATCCTCTAGCACATCCCGAAGCATCTCCTCTGACTCCTTTGCCCTCCCTTGGTGGGCTCTCACGCGCCCCAGGAGCATAAATCTGCTATGACCCTTATCCCAGCCTTGCTCCTTATTCTCATCGCGAAAGCTGATACATCGACGGATCTGTGCTTCCGCATTGCTGTAGGAACCCAAATGTAGAAAGTACTCTGCCATGCGAAAACAAAGATCCTCAGCAATAATATCTGTTCTACCTTTGGTTACCGCAAGTGCATGCGGAATGTATGACTCGCAGATATCCCGCAGCTCGTGCTCATATTTGGGAAACATCCGAGAAACTACCCTTAGCGCGGTGGCGCTGCATTCGTTTGATTCTTCCGGTGATAAATAGGCATGTATCGATAGTTGGATTAAGCGATGAAGCTCATAGACGGTCTTATCCCCGCGTTTGACGGCGGCAACCAATGAAAATCCCAACAGTTTGGCAATCGCGCGACGAAATTGAACCCAATAATCCATCCCTTCAATGCCTGATTCCCGCAGCAGCTGTTCGGATATGTTTTCACGGTCAAAGAACGCAATAAGCCGCAGGAGATGCCCGGCTGTCGGCATCTGTTTCGTAATTCGGTCAAAGGTGATGAAGTACGTGCCCAGAATACTTTCCGTCATGTCAGCCTCTCGTCGGATATCGCTGAACTGCTCTAGAAGTAGCTCCTTCATCCGCTTGTCGTGCTCTTGGAAAATGGTCCAGTAGTCGGAGGGCGGTGTTTCGGTCTCGACCATGAATGCCGCGGAACCAACGACAGCCAGCGGCAGGTGATCCACTGAGCCTAGGATCATCGCAACAACCTCTTCTTCCCCATTTCTCAAACTGCCCCAGCAACCAAAGTGTTTGGAAAATAATTCTTGGGCTTCCTCCTTCTCCATCTTTCCGACATCGATCCTCTCGCACCCCTGGCGAAATGCAACCTGGCGAGATCTCGTCGTGAATATCAGAGTACCTCGGGGGCCTTGCGGCACAAGCTTAGCGATCGGACTATTGTTGCCAACAAAGTCCTCATCGTTGTCGGCGTTGTCAATTACCAGGATCCAATCACCGCTGTCTGGACCCTCGAACCACCTCTTGACACTCAATAAGCCTCCCTCTTCTTCTGTCTCGGCGCTCGCTAAAGGAATTTGAACATGTTGGGCAATAGCCCTAAAGCCTTCCCTAAATTTCAACACTCCACTTCCTTGAACCCAGAAAACATCACAATCGCTCTCACTTGCACGTTGATAAACGTATTCGAGGGCGATCTGGGTTTTCCTAAGGAATGTTAGCGGACGCCTGAGACACCAAATTAATAGATGCATACCCGGAACCGCCTAATCCAAGAAGAGCGATCCGGTTGTGGCCATTAGGCCTGCAAAGCCGCTCTACCGAACTAATAAGATTCCCACGGCCCGTGAATTTGCTGTTCCTGCTATATGGAATCATCCGATAAGGCCTAGATGCTTCTTCCAGTTACAGTAGCACATTAGCTCTTTGCCGGAAGGCTCTCGGAAAAGCCGGTCACACCTCTGTCCCCATATCTGAATGTACATCCTTGATATATTGCTCCGAGATTGGCCGCATAGTTCGGGTGACCCAGGTTTAGGTTATTATGGTTGTTACTGCCAAAGACATTATGATCCCCTGAATTCCCGCTGAATTCCCCGGTGATATCGGCTTGGGTTTTCCTATGAATATTTCTGGATGAGCACTTCCTTTTTTTCTTTCATTCAAATTATATAGATATTAAAGGGAAGGTGACCCTACTGATCCATCGTGTTCTCGGCTCACCCTAGCACCACTTTCGAGGGTCGGGTGTGAAGGTGATAAGACGACGTTCCTAACTGAAACAGGAAGTATAGCCTAATTTCCACCTATCGAGGCAGTCCCAAGTCGTTCCGCGAGGCCCTGAACGCAGTCAATAACCGAAATAAACCGTAGTCACACCGTAGCAAAACCAACAGTGACGAATCCAACCTTGGATATTGACGTTCGTAACTCCGAGATTTTGAGGCAGGGGTGTAATCCTAGCTAGGGCAATACTATTCTAGTAGAGGCTGAGCTATCGGCATGAGGATGCTACGGTATGTGGGCGTTACAGGATTCGAGCAGAGCGATAGTTTTTTGTGGTAGTGGGGAATTTTTTTTTCTTTTTTTTTTTTACTTCATTTCGTTTGTCATTATATATAGGGTACAAAGAACACATGCAAACCCCTTGGTATGGCGATAAAAACCATCCTACTACAGTCCACCCACCCGCCAGAAGCCGCCTGGAGAAACCCTCTGGGGTAGAAAACCCGGACCCCTAGTGATGGGGCTGAATACAGCGAACCCAAAACCTCCACAGATGCGCAGTAATAAGGAAATCCCCCAACCCGACAGTGAGACCTAGTTAGACTCCCTACAATCCCCGGACCCCAGAAAGGAAGAAGGGTGCCCTCCACACTCTCCTCCCCCCATAGCTTAACCATCATGACCCAAACCCCAGCCACCCCAGCACATCCCCCCTACCCTGGTATGGAGCAGGAGAAGAAAGAGCAGCCAAGCGGAGAAAGGGGACAGAGGACAGACATTCACAAGCGCAAAAGGCCGAGAGACGAAGTACCAGAACCAAGGGGAGGATGACAAGTCAGGCCGTGTGGCAAGCCAGAAGAAATCCCGTGCCCACTGGAACACAGAGAAGAAGGCAGTAAGGTGCCAGCTGAGGGGTGGATGACTCCCAGAGGGCAAAGCCATGATAAAGAGAGTCAGAGCCAAAGGAGGAAGCAGCCAAGGCTGCAAGGCAGAGGGGATGCCAGCCCAGCAGTAGGGTGCCAGCCAAGGAGAGAGAGGAGGTGAGGAGGGCAGCCAAGTGCCCGGGCAGTATGATGGCAGCAGATCCCGAGATGAGGAGAGGAGGAGGGCAGAACGATACGGCAGCCTGGCTGCAACCAGGGTCACAGACCCACACCACAGGCCCAGCTACCAAGCAGCTGTATTATCGCTTCTCTCATGTAGTCCCTTGTTTTGGGAGAGAAAGCGTCACTTAGTAGATGAGAGACCACCAGCAGCCCAGGCAAAGAGGCCCGACCACGAAGTCCCAATAGCCCGGAGGACCACCAGACCGACTGACCGAAAAGCTGACTGTGCGAATGCTAAGTGAGCCTAGCAAAAGCGGGATAGGAGGAGGGGGAGGCATCGTGAGACACCCCCAGCAGAGAGAAGAGGCCCCTAGGAGAATTAACCTCCAGGGTTTTATAAAATATGACCGAGTTGAATCTTTCTGCGCACTTGGAAGCTGTTTGCCGGTTTGGTATTGCGATCTCGATTGTCCTGCCTTACTTTCTCTTCATAGAGAAATCTGCGCCCTTATATACATCCAGGAACTTCCTTCATTTCTCACCTCAACCTCCCAGGGTTCCCATCACTTCACATCGTGTGATCAGCCATACTCCGCTTTCCCATTCTTTTTTCTTCTCTCAGTTTCTCCTATCATCGCATTTACCCGGTGGTTCCTCCAATCAACGATTCCTCTTCTAGCATGTGCCCCATGACTTGACTTTACTTCCAATCGTCCCTTTCTCTACATTTATCCATAACATGCCCAAGAACATTCCACCTCTCTTATAAATCCAAGTATAAACATGACAAATGAAAGAGCAAAGAGTCTAGTACCTCCGGACAAGGTTCCGGTGATTCTCTTAACTTCCCCGAGGTGTGAGGTTGGTCTGGTGATTAATTGGAGTGCCGGTGATTTACGACACCTCCCCTCACCAGGACTCCACTTTCACTATCAAAACTCTTGGAGTCCCTATCTTCAGGTTTCTCCCCTTCTATGGTTGCGTCTGAGTCGTAGTTGGGCATAACAGTTTTGTCTTCAAGCAGGAGGAATAGTGAGAGTGTCATAAGTCCTAGACTTTGACAATGTTTGATAAATGCTGGCTGTGGTAGGGCTTTGGTAAAGATGTCCGCGGTCATCTCAGCGGTGGGACAATAGGTAAGTTGAATATTTCCTTGTTCGATATGCTCGCGAAAAAAGTGATATTGAATATCAATATGCTGTGTTCGGTTATGAAACTGCGGGTTCTTGGCCAATGCCATGGCTCCTTGATTGTCCACTTGGAGTATACCCAGTTGGTGTTTGGTTGCCCCTAGATCCCACAGAAGTGCTTGTAACCAAAGCGACTCTTTTACAGCTTGTGTCAAAGCCATATACTCTGCCTCCGTTCACGAGAGTGCAATACTA